CAACACGTGTGGGCCCCGCAGTATTATCCAATCACAGGACAGGTAAGGGGTGAAGATAAGATACAAATGATAGAAAACGTATAACGTTGCGCGCTCCGATAAACAACCGCAACGAGAAATGGGAAGTGTGTCGATGTCACAACTCACAGAGCGGTCGTAAAAAAGAGTTGAGGAGAGACATTACCGTTGTTCAACGAATGCACATCATATCAGTCAATATATAATAAATCAAATTAATTTACCTGACTCGACTCGTCGTAAACTGCGATTGATTTTGTTTAACTTAATAAATATGGCCTCACATCACTCACGAGAAAACCTCAGTTCATTAATCTATTTCTCATTCACGCATTATATTGTTTTAGCTCCACTCAAGTATAAGAATAAAATAAAAATTATAATAATATCAAGTCAAATATATTATATACTCTTTTCTTTGAATAAGATAATTTTTTATTTGATTTAATTTGAGAAATAATCTTTTTCTCTTAATAGTATTTTGATTGATGGATTTTCTGCCACGAGGAATCTTTAGTCAAGATTCGTAATTATTAATAAAAAAATAATCTGATTTTTTCTATCTTTTTGCATTTATTTTTTTTCTAGATATTAACATACGACAACTTATTACATATGTGAAATATCACTAAACTAATTATATTTATTTAAATAAAAGATAAATTAATCTTTTCTGTTAATTTATGTCAACTTTTCTGTTATTAACTGTTATTAACAGAAAAGTCTAGTTATTGACTGTTATTAACAGAAAAGTTATTTTCTGTTATTAACTTTTCTGTTAATAACTGTTAACAGAAAAGTTATTTTCTGTTTTTAACAGAAAATTTATTTTCTGTTATTAACAGAAAATTTATTTTCTGTTATTAACTTTTCTGTTAATAACTTTTCACTAGTTATTAACTGTTATTAACATTTATTAGACCCATTCTTTTAATTAATTAATATTAACAGAAAATAACTTACCAAAAAAAATAACAGAAAAGAACCTAGATAATTACTAGATCCATTCTAGCTCAAAGAACAAACTTTTTAGATAAAATTCTTACACTTCCGCATGTTTTATACATAGACGATGTGATCATATTATCGAAAACTTTCGTATGTTTTATATATGGATGATTTGATAATAGTATTGAAAACATAAGTACGGCTTCATATCACTCACACACAAGGTGAGAGTAGAACTCAGTTCATTGATTCATTTTCATTGACATATTACAATGTTTTAGTTCATTGATTCATTTTCATTGACATATCCTCTTTCCTTTGAAGAAGATAATATTTTTTATTCAATTTAATTTGAGAATTAATCTTTCTCTCTTGATGGTATTTTTGACTGATGGATTTTTACCGATGCAAAGATGAACTTTTAGTCCAGATTCATAATCATCAATTAAAAATAATCTAACATCATCTATCTTTTCTGCATTTACGTTCTTTTTCTCCTCAAGTTGACATTATGACAATTTATTACATATGTGAAATCCTACTAAACTAATTAAATTTATTTAAATAAAAAAAAGTAATTGATTTCGCATCATTCCATCTATTGAGTCCAAATTGGTCGAAGCCCTTACCCTATAGCACAATATCTATTGTGAGACATCAATTGTTGTCAACTATATTCAAAGCTAGTTAACTTATATTTTCTTAAATATATTATGTACAAATGGTACTTTATAGGATATATTAAATGCTTTAGATACTTCTTTGTACTAGGCAAATGCTATCTCTATAGATATTATATGCAAAGTAGAAACTATCAAATGTTATAGGTGTATGTATCACATGTAAAGACGCTATAAGTTGCATTAAGCATTTTGAATACTTATTTGTCTTATCAAGTGCTTCGAATGCTTTTTTTTATCTTAGGCGAACATATCATATACAAATGAGATGCCTTGAGTTCCATTAGTTGCTTCATTTTTTTTTTTGTCATGCGCGATGGATCGTGCACAAACAAGATGCTATGGGCTACATATGATACTTCAAATATTTATATATCTTGTGAGAATTTATCATGTATAAATATGATGTATTGAGATGTTTGATGCTTCATATTGTTTTTATTATGGGTGAACATATTATGCACAAATGAGATGCTTTGAGATCTATTGAAAACTTTAAACATTTTATATTTTAAGCAAACACATTGCCCATAAAAGGGATGCTTGGAGGTGTCTCAAGTGTCATAACTACAAAGAGGTCTTATGTATTTTTTTTATTATATTTTTTAATATAATTAATAAAAAATAATTTTTTTTGAAGAAATAGGGTATGATCCGAATATAAGAAGATCTTCTTTTATGGTTGTCTCTTAATTTAAATATATATAATTTATTAGCATAATGATAAGAGTAATGATTTTCAAAAGGATTGAAAATGAGCTTTTTTTTTTTTTTTTTTTTGTTAGCCTACTCTGCTAAGGTTAAACAAGTAAGGTAGCAATCCTTCATCTAGCTATGTTACTAATATATACCTAAATGATATTAAAATGTGATGGTAAAGAAGTTTTATACATGAGTAAGAGATTAGAAGTCTTAAGTTTTATAGGGTATAAAAAATATTTTTTTTATTATTTTTTAAAATAAAGTGTGGCATGGGACCTTAGTTAGGAGGTCGAGATTAAAGAAAGGCGCAATCTTAAAAGGTCATATTTGATAGACGAGAGAAAGGAAAGAGGTTGGAATTCGAAAAATGCTTAACCTCAAAAAGTCTAAATTGAGAGAGGAGAGAAATGAGCGAGGTTATCATATGGTTAGGATTGAAATAGGAGACCGGGCAAAAAAATATTGGGTAAATAACTTTAGCATATATGAGATTAAAAGAGTTTTACGATAATTGGGTTAGCCGGTGGAAAGATCAACCTAGAGTTCCTTATAATAGTTAGAATTAATTTTGATTAAGAAATTTATTATGGTTGATAATTAGATAGATTGTGTTCCATAAGGAGAAGAGGGATAATGTTCTGCTTCAATTATGAAAGAAGAGGGAGAAGAGTTGAATATCTCGTTCAAGAATTTTTTTTTTATCTAACCCGTAGGAATTAATAGAAAAGATAAATCCCCTATGATACATCTGACTCGGTTATTGATAGAGTGAATAGATATGTTTTTTCTTGAAATCTCTTTTCCATCCAAAATTATAGTATAACGTGTATCTTCTTTTGTTTTGGTCATGCAATAGATGAAATAAATCAAAAAATAAATTTTTATTCAAGAATGAAATCTTATTGGAACTATTTATATCCGGTTCATACTTCAAAACCATATTACATCCTGAATTTAAAGAAATATGATGAATTGAGATAGCATTTTGTATATTCATAATTATTTTAAATGTATAAATCATTTTTTATTTTTGATCGCCTAAAAGAGACAAAAAAAAAAAAATTCTTTTAATTTTCGATCTCTAGTAGGCCAAATAATGCCTTAGTAAGAATAATTACTTAGTTAGATTCCTAGTTGAGAAAAGAAATATAATCGTTTCAGACCCATTATCGGTAGTGTAAATATGAGATCAATTTGAATGTTCTTACAGAAGGACATCTTGCTTGAGGTAAAGTATTATACTGAAAATCAAGAGAGAGATCTTCGTAGATATATTTTTATAAAACTTTTCATGTTTAATTTTCTTACGACATTGTCATGAAGATCTTTTTTTCTAGTGTCAATTTGATGAGATTAAATTTAGTCATCAATTCGACTTGAGAAAATTACTTTGAATTTGTACGTTTTCTTAGTTCTATTATGTTTAGAAGAGAAAAATTATTAAGTATTTAGGATTTGGATGATGGAGAATTTTTTACATAGTGAAAAATATGTGTATCATGTGTCCTTTGTCCTACTTCAATTTGAAGGCGAAAGATAATCGTATTTTATCTCTCATTCCACGAGAAAGCTATATCAAAAGTAAAGCTCTAACTCTTTTGGTAATTATCTAAAGGATGAGTTGCAGATATACAAAGATGAGTGTATCCCTAACCTATAAGTTATAAGAAAGCCTAATCATGGCGTGAGAAATACTAGATAAAGTCATTTGTACTCTGAATGCAGTCATGTGCTCCATAGGAACGATACTTTAATTTAAAAAAAAAAAAAACTTAAAAAACGAAGGGAATATGTACACCTCTTGCATCATCAGTTGGATGAAGAAGGACTAGATTCAGAGATTGACTACTTATTTGTATTAATTCTACTGTCAGATATTACATCTCATGTTGTCTTTAGATTGGAAAGATGAAAGCTAGAGGGAACTTACTCCTCTTGCATCGATTTGGTGAAGAGGAACTTGTCCGTTCTGAAAATTCACTTGGTCGTGTTCCGTTTGGAGTTAGATATTGTGCCTCAAATTGTCAAGATGCTTGTCCATCTATTATAGTTATTCGTGCAAGATAAGACTTGGTGACTTGGTCGTGTTCCCTTTGAATCAGCCTCAAGACGTTTCTCCATTTGTTATAGTTATTTGTGCAAGGTAAGATTCCTCTCATTAGTTGAGTATTCCTCAAATTCAAACTAGACTGTTTGGGGCCAAATTCTAACCTAAAATTTGTTAGGAAGCTCAGAACTTATTCCATCATGATTTGCATACATACAGCAAGCATTCAACACAGTAAAGATTCCAATAAAATAGAATATATATACATATATATATATATATAATATATATATATATATATACACATATATATATACATATATATATACACATATATATATACATATATATATATACATATACATATATACATATATATATATATATACATATATATATACATATATATATATACATATATATATATATATATACATATATATATATATATATATATACCGGATAAAAGTTTCACAAATCAATATAGGTTAATTGGTATAACATACTTACAATAGAA